AATCTCTAATTACAGACATTCAGTTAAAGCACTTATTCAGATTCAGAATTGGAGCTAACAAAGCATGAACAGTAAAATTACGGAAGTAAAATTAGTGGAATACTTATTTATATCAATGTTCTAGATTCTCGAATAAGTAATATGTGGAGTGTTACATGTAGGCAGCAAAAACATTAACAAAAATGTAAATAGGAAACACTCATCTTGAAGCAGCTACCTGTGAAAAAGATTTATGCATTTATGCAAACATCATTTTCATTGTTTAATCAATGTGCTGAAGCAAAAAAAAAGAGGCACTTTCATGATTAAAGAAATGCCCCATTCTAACAGTGGAAACTAATGTTGAACGGTTTGAAATACAAACCTTTTTTTATGAATGAAAGGACTATGGGAGTCTCCTTGACATTTTTCATGGAAAACCAGGAGAGAATTCTCACACCATTTAGCTGCTAGCAACCAAATGGGCACAAACTAGTTCTGGGCTCGATCCTGAACTGGAACACCCTCTGTGTACGGTTTGCACCTCCTCCAGAGATTCTGGTTTTCTCCCACAATCCAACTATGCAGTTCACCTGGTTTCTCATAATTGGCCCTATATGGATGTGTGAGTGAAAAGTTATGAGTGTAATCCTGCAAAGGACTGGCGCTCCTTTGAGGGGGTGAGTTTAACCTGTTTGGGCCAGGATAAACTTGATCCAATAGATTTAACAGCGTTCAACGAATACATACGTCAAATTCCCCGCTTTTTTTCTGGATTGCCTTCACCCGGTTGAACAAGGTATTGATCTTTCCCTCGACATCGCCACACACAAGACTGTAAATAAAAACAAATTAAAACATTATGAATTCAATGAGTCTCACACGTGCAGAATCCATAACCAGAGTCAAACAGTTATTTCAGTTTAAACAAGACCAATTTTGCTCAACTGACATGAGCCAAGTGAGCTCAAGCAAATACAGGTTTGTGACATCAATTTAAACAGCCTATTGTAAGCCTAAAAATCACATCCTCACCGTGGGCATGAGAATTAACAATAATGTGGCCTAAACAGTACTAAACACCTTTTGAGATGTCATGATGCATACAGACAGAGGTAGTTACACATGTTTTTTAAGTTTCCAAACTGAATGAACAGGACCCTGACAACTTTCCTCTGCAAGCAATCTGTAGGCAAACTTTCTCAAGAACAAATTAGAAATATTGGCTTTTGCATGCAAAAGGTACTTGACTTCATTTCTGTGCATTTCACAACAATTAAAACGTTATTGTTGAGGAAGACCTAACTCGTGCGTCATCAGAAAGTGGAAAACGATAGCAGAGACACAAATTCACCAGCCATTCAATGAAGGTTAGTCAATCTTTAGACCACTACATAAAAATACTGTAGACAAGTATGGAGGAAATGCCAGTAAATTGTGTGAAGCCAAAAACAATTATACGACATACAAATTCTGATATTTTAATCAGCAATAATTAACCTTTCCATGATAAACAGTTTCCACACTGAAAGTTTGCCCCTCATTTAACTAAATCGGTAAATTACTTCACATTATTCATTAACTATCCGATGGCATCATGCACTGAAATTAACACGAAACCTAGTCTGGCACGTTTAGAGTCATTTTAGAAAGTAAAACGTTATTACAATTTGCAGTGTTAAAAGTTGCAATTATTTTCGTAAATATCAGAATAGAGTCCAATGCGACTACTGTAGCGCTGTTTTTTATTATCATTCGCGGTCTAATAAGTTTAGATAAGCGCTAAGATTGTTTGGCAGTCGAACCACAGTAAAAAAACTACAATGAAGCGATTTTATCTCACGATACCAACAACAACTCAAGCATTACTTTTTACTACGTTTTGTAGGCGAGTTTTCAATGCAAGTGAAGGTATAAAAGACCAGTTAACTTCAAGACGCTGCTCGGTAAGACTTAGCACAATCCGTTTGCTGTTTTATATAACAGTGTGGTGGTTGTCGTGGATATTAAATCCTTTCAGAGAGATGAGCTTTAAAGATTTAAAACAGGCTGTCCTTCGCTGTTTAAAAAGGTGCAATTCGCACAACTGTTCTGCTTCAAATACCGCCTGTACGTATTTAGTGTTCAATCATTTTGTTTGCATTTCATAAGACATTAATAGATAGTTGAGATAGGACGGCAGTTAACTTCCAGGAATATATGGAGGCAAACAAAATAAAAGCGTTTTTATAGTAAAGTATACAGACACGTTGCTATATAATATAAAACATTAATTTACAGTTTGCTAACGGTATTGTTTTTTTTTTTAAATTTAACGTTGCAGCAAACATAAACAGTCTTACACTCGCAAAGGTCTGTCTCCCATGATGTCCTGTATTAAAATTATTGAAGTAAAATTACTATTAATAAAACTGTATACATAAATATAAGAGAGTTCGCCTTCTTTCCAGAAAACCGGGGCTGTTTTAAATCTGAAAGTGTCTCTTTTTCTGTCCGTCGATTAATAAGTCCCCCCCAGACACAACGCAGGAAGTTGTTTAATAATTCTTTCTGCCAGTAAAAAAAACATACGTATTTATACCTTCATACTTACACTTAATTCGACATAATTTGTAATTATCAAGTTGAAAGTACTGTTTCCGTTTAAATCCTTTATTGATCTAGTTAAATTTTAAAAGAAATGTTTCTCTCCGGGAGATATAAAAGGTTGCAGTACGGCAATGTATTTGGGACAATATTCATGGTCTAGGTGAGACGAGTGAGAAGAAATTGCAGAGATCAAATTCCTGCCTTTTTCATGGCTAGTTTTAGATATGTCTTTCTATATCTAACGTATGCATATCTAAAGAAGAAAACTTATTGAATCTGGCATCTACGGAAAATGTACAGTGCTCTTTTGCGTTAATGTCAGTAAACCAAACCATGTATTAGTACAATAAGTTAGATTTTTCTTGTTCTACATTTTTTAAATAATGCGATAGACTACATTTTTACAGTAATTAAAAATCTGTACGTTATATATTCTTCATTAACATCACATATCATATTCTGAGAGTCACTATAATCTACTTTTAATCTACACATTTCCCGACAGAAAGGGGACTCATCAGAAAACTTTATTTCACAAGAATTTCTTGCATTCCTCGGTAAAGAAATATATAATGTGTGACAATATGTATCATGTCATTTACCACATAGTGTCTATTGTTCTATTAGTTACTTGTATATAGTGTAGGAGCTGTTCTGTGGGCAGGAGTGACACAGCCCCGTGTCTATGATCTCAAAGATCTACTAAGGGTACTTTTTAAAAAAAGCAAAGCTGTAGAACTCTATTCTTCATGTATTAGTTTTTATTTTCCTTTCCATCAGGGTTAGTCCTGAAGGAATTAATTTTAAGAGAAAAGTACAGATCATTACAGAAATCATAAATGATTTAGCTACAGAGTTTTACACAATCTTATGTGAGATTGTTTGAAAATACACAGATGTATGAGAGGGATAACAGTGTTGTCTGTTGCTTTTCTGCAGTTTTTTAACAAGTTTAGTTCTGATTAACAGTTTTAACTACTAAACTGTACAAAAGCACAGCTACACACCCTTTAAGACAGAATTGTCTTGTACTGACACAGAAAACAATAGCATATTTTAAGTTGTAACAAAAGTAGATTGCATTTGACCAAAGGTTTAAAATCACTAAATTAAAGTAATAAAAAATTGCAATTTTTTTAAATAAAGGTTATAAAAAGGTTAGTTATTGAACATGTTATATATATAATGATAATGCTTCGTTGTAAACTGCTAGTAAAATACATGTATTTCCAAATATGCATCCTGTTAAATTCCCAGCCTCTCTCACTCTCACCTCTCACCTATGATCTGAACCTCACAGTGCCTTCTTCCTTTCTTTCTTACCAAAAACCCAAACACACATTGAAAATCTACCTCTACCATACATGTCAAAAGCTCACTCCCCATAATTTCTATCCCTTTATTTTATTCTGTTGATGCATATTTTTGCACAAAACCTGTTACCTTTTTGTTGTTTTGTACATTGCCTGTTGTTTTTTTGCACATTGCCTGTTGTTGTTTTGTTTGCACACTGCCTGTTGTCTCTGTCTTTCTTTTGCTACACAATTGTATTGTTGTTGTTGTTGTTCTTGTTGTTGTTGTTTTCTCTTTGTACTACTTATGTCCGAGAGCTAGCTAAATAGCATTTCTTTATACCATATACCATGTATATGAGTGTAATGACAATAAACTTGAAACTTGAAACTTCTTAGATTTGGTAGTCTCCCCCTGTAACTTATATTCACTTTAGAAAACATGAAACATGATGGGAAAATGCTTTTAAACAGTGTCAACACATCACCATAGATGTGAAATACGTTGTTCCTTGCTGATGTTTATTCCAGATGCTCGTGTTGTTAAACTGTATAATTGTATATCAAATACTACAAATGAAGGATAAAAGGTAATCAAAAACAAAGATAAGTGAACAGAAAACCATTCTGCCAGAGGTAGTTATATCACAGAATAAAATATTTTTTTTACATACACTAGTTGTATTTTTTACAACTGCGTTTAAGTTTTATTGCATTTCCAACATTTGAGCAAAAGGAGGCAGTAACGTTAGACCCTTTTTGTTTTAACAAGAATAAAATGTCTGTAACGCCTTTAAAAGCATCTTCTCAAAACGCTTTACAAGAAAAGGTAAAAAAAAATGTTTAAAAAGAAAACAGTAACAAAGATATGAGATAAAATTACCAGAAAGAAACAGAAGTGTTCAAGATGCAGTAGAAGATGCGACTATATATTACAATTATAAATAAATATTCCTTTACCATATGACATCTCGCGAATTACAACACAATATCAAAATCCTTTAATATAATAGTCACATTTAAATGCTTAGATAAAGGTTTGCAAATCAATCCAGAACAATTCTGCACATGGGCAGACAAATACAGGCAGCATTGTGCTGTGTTGTGGTTTGGTACAATACCGGAAAGGGAAGTGACGCAGCTGCCGGATCAAACAGGAAACAGGTCTTAGCTGTTCGTGTTCTCGTTGCTTAGAACATAGGATAGTAACAAAATATTTGTGCAAAGTTCATGCGTTGTTATCACTTTCTGTAACTCCTTGAAGCCGTGCAATTTATTTATATAGCTGTAATAAAGCACGTTTTAGTAAGAAGAAAGTCTGCGACAATATATGTGCTCCAACAATTTCTGTATTAACAATCAATGGATGTACAGTATGGGACTGAACATTACCTTATATAGGCGTGCTATTTCTAAGTAAGGGGTTACAAGCGGATTTATGGCCCAATGTAAGCAATGGGCAGCTCCAATTTTGGGAAACACTGTCCCTCGCTTTAAGGCTACCGTAGGACATGACCCGACATAATAATAGCAATTTAAATGGGAACAAACCAGGAAAAGGCAAAAATGTCATCCGAACAAATAATTGCAATCGTAACTGAGGATAAGACTTACAAAGTTAGCAAAAGTAAGCTGATAGAGAAGAGCGACTATTTCCAGGCGCTGTACAGCTCTGGGATGAGAGAAGCCGGAGAGGACTCCGTGCGGCTGCAGGGACTGAGCCGGCAGGGGCTGGAGTTGGTCATTGAGTTCATCAACACCTCTAAAGTGCAGATCGAGAACGAAACGCTGGAGGACTTGATCGAGGCGGCCTCTTTCCTGCAGGTGACCTCGATCCTCAAACTGCTGCTCTCCGAAATAAGGCTGGAAAACTGCGTGGAGCTGTACAACCTTTCCGACGTCTACGGGACCCACGACCTCGGGGCTGCCTGCATCAGATTTATGAGCTGCTATTATCACCCGATGCTGAGGAGGCAAGAGTTCAGGCAGTTACCTGGCGCGTTTAGGGACCAGGTGCGAGAACTGCGCATGAGAGGGACGGCGACTTTAATTGCCGTGGGCGACTTCGTGGGGACCTGCCTGGACGCCGCTCACCAGGACGAGCCCTGGTCCATGCTCCGCTACAGCGAGGCGGACCAGCGATGGATGCCGCTGGCCAGCAGTCTGCCTCCCGAGATGGTCAACGTGAGAGGTTATGGGTCCGCTGTTTTGGATAACTACCTGTTCGTCGTCGGGGGGTACAGAATGACCAGCCACGACATATCTGCTGCACACTGTTACAATCCCTGTCGAAATGAATGGACCCAAGTCGCATCGCTGAACCAAAAAAGGTTACTAAAAGTTACTTCAACTGGCACTGCTGTTATTTTGGACTGTAATATCAATTACAGTGATACTCAATTACATTACACGGTATTTCAATATGACTCCTTGGACTGGTTTCACAGACCCAATTAGCACAATTACCAAGCTTGCTTACCTGACGTAACGTCATGGAGTCCATGATGCTACTCAAGATCTTTGAAACTTCTGCCATGAGTTAAGAAACGCCCTTCCAAACTAATGCTGCCGAAAACGTCTGTTTCTGTTGTAAAAATCCCGTATTCTACTAGACAAAAAGGGAATGCTCACATTCACAGGCCTCAAGTTAGGAAAACAGCTCATGTAAATCATAAATCAGTTTTAATTAATGGTTTCATTTACAAAGCGCCTTTCCAAACCCAAGGAGGTTGAGCTATACACTAGAAATGTAACTGATATTTATCAGAATGCATGTTAATGTTTAAACTGAGCTACTCTGTGTTTGTTGTTGTTGTTGTTGTTGTTGTTGTAACAAGCATAATTCGTGACGCTGTTTTTTTATATATATATAATAAAAGTACGAGGGATGAGGAAACGGAATCCGTATATCGCATTTTAGAATGTGCTCTCGGTGCTGTTGACGTGTGCAGAGCTGCGGTACATAACGTTGCTATTTTTCTCCCACAGGTCCAATTTTAAGCTGCTCGCTGTGAGCGGGAAGCTGTACGCGGTAGGCGGCCAGTCTGTGGGCACGGTGGAGTGCTACAATCCCGAGTTGGACTGGTGGAGTTTTGTAGCCTCTCTGCCTGATCCCTTGGCAGAATTCTCGGCCTGTGAATGCAAGGGAATGATATACGTCATGGGCGGCTACACTGCTAGAGGTCAGTAATTGAAGAACCTGCTTATTGAAATCACGCAAAAAAAACGGGAATGGTTGTATCAGGCTCTAACCACCGAGCAAGAGTCTATTTTGGCACAATCCTGTAAAGCAAATTGCACTATGCACATTGCACTTTATGTACCCAGTTCCCTGTCAGAAATGTCTGTGTCTACATTGTCTATAGCATTGTCTTCCCAGTGTCTTGTCTGTATTCGCTCCGTAGACCTAGAGAACGATCTTTCGCTCCTCTGTATGGCTGGATTGACAAATAAACTTGAATTTGATAAGGCAGGGTACAATCTGGACAGGGCACCAGTCCATCACAGGGCACACACAACCACATAGCACAGAGTCTCACAGCAGGGCCAGTTTTTCCCAGGAGCCGGTTAACCTGCTTGTATATTTTTGGACTGTGGGAGGAAGCCAGAGCACCCAGAGGAAAGCCATACGAAAACAGAATTGAACCCGGGGCCCTAGCCTTGCGAGGCAGTGCATCTAACCACTGTGCCACTGTGCTGCCCTGGAGGGTTGTAGTTTCGATTTAATTGAAGCCTTAAATAGAGTAACTGCTACAAACAAAGAAAACAAAATAGTTGAAAGGTTAACCGCAGTGGTGTATCCATCTGCACTGCTGTATCACAGCACTTGGCATTTTGTTTATCGGTGTTCTTGTGAGGTTTTCACAGTGTCCTCATACCTGCCCGAGATGTGCTGGCTAACACCAGCCATGCCTTTGAATTACATGTGCTTTGTGCATCCTGTTAGGGTGACGTCCTGCCCTGCCCAGGTGCTTCTGGATGGGGGATGGATACATCTGATTAAAAAATAAACACGGTGCATTTGTAAGCCCAGAAACTGAAGGCGAGAGACCCTGAACATGATTCAGTTTGAGATTATGCCCTATCAGAAACTGAAATGTGGTTGAACGCACCATGTGACATGCAGTTCATCCAGAACATTACATTTGTGGATGAAAAATACTCTGGTGAAGTAAAAATGAAAGTCATTTCTTCATACGGTAAATGTAATATAATAATAATTCCTTATACTTATGTGGCACTTTTCTGGATACTCCACTCAAAGCGCTTTACCACCTCCACCACCAGTGTGCAGCGCCACCTGGATGATGCGATGGCATCCATAGAATGCCAGGTTACTCACCACACACCTGTTATCAGTGGGGAGGAGGACAGAGTAATGAAGCCAGTTCATAGATGGGATTTAATAGGAGGCCATGATTGGTAAAGGCCAGGGGAAATTTTTCCAGGACACCTGGGTAAAATCCCTACTCTTTTCAAGAAACACCCTGGGATTTTTAATGAGCACAGAGAGTCAGGACCTCAATTTTGTTTCTCATCCAAAGGACAGCACCTTTTTTACAAAACAGTGTCCTTGTCACTATAATGGGGCATTAGGACCCACCCAGTCTGCAGACTGAGCACCCCTACTCGCCCCTCTAATACCTCTTCCAGCAGCAACCTTAGTTTTTCCCAGGAGGTCTCTCAGCTAGGTACTGACCAGGCTCACACCTGCTTAGCTTCAGTGGGCTGGTAATTGTGAGTTTCAGGGTGATATGACTACCTTTAACGCAGTGATAGCCAGGCATTGATTTAACTGTAAAGGTACACCTCCCTCTTTGCATTGACTGCTATTCGGTTCCTGCCTGTCTGCTGGTGTTTGTTCCAGCTGTGATTTCAGTTACTTATTTAAACCTTTAGTTAAGGTAAGAGTTTGTATAACTAGGTCTTTATATATATTTTTTTTTCAGTTCTCAAACCTGTTCCAATCCATTCCAGGGAATTATCCACTAACCTTGCTGGAGCTGAAAACAATTAAATAGGTTTTATTATTAGCTTAGTTAAGTGACTTATGGCTTAGATATATTAAGTAGCAATAAAAATAATAATTGCTTACACTTCACTTATATAGCGCTTTTCTGGACACTCCACTCAAAGCGCTTTACAGGTAATGGGGACTCCCCTCCACCACCAATGTACAGCATCCACCTGGATAATGCGACGGCAGCCATAGTGCGCCAGAACGCTCACCACACATCAACTATTAGTGGGGAGGAGAGCAGAGTAATGAAGCCAATTCATAGATGGGGATTATTAGGAGGCCATGATTGGTAAGGGCCAATGGGAAATATTTGGCCAGGACGCCAGGGTTACACCCCTACTCTTTACGAGAAACGCCCTGGGATTTTTAATGACCACAGAGAGTCAGGACCAAGACCCAGCTGACATGGGGTTAGAGCAAATTAAGAGCAAAGATCCTTTTTTTTTTATGTGCATGGAAATGTTTTACAGTAATGACGGTTTTGACTCGTCTAATCGAAAGATTCCGGCAGTCTGAGCCCAGAGCCCTCAACCCTCACCTCCCTGTCCCCTTCCAGACAGGAACATGAGCATCCTGCGCTACTGTCCCAGCTCAGACGCCTGGTCCTCCTTGGAGACCTGTCAGGTGCATGTCAGGAAGCAGCAGATGCTGTCCCTGGAGGACACCATCTACCTCGTCGGGGGCTACATCCACGACATGGAGCCGCCCAAGAAGACCGGCCAGTCGGAGGACATCCTCACGGTGCAGGCCTACGACGTGGGCACGGGGGAGTGGCGACGTGTGAAGGAGAACACTTCCAAGTCCGGGCTCAACCTGACGTGCGCGCTGCATAATGACGGTATCTTCATCATGAGCAGGGACGTCGCCCTACCCACCAGCCAGGAGCACAGGGTCTTCCTCAAGTACAACATCTTTTCCGATATGTGGCAGCCCTTCCGAAGGTTTCCAGCCTTCGGCCAAAACATGCTGCTGTGTTCCCTGTACCTGCCTAACGTCATCATGTAGCATGCTCGCTCCAAGGATCCATTTATATATATTGGCTTGTGGCTCTTGAACTGGAGCTGTGCTGAAGAGGTTCTCCGTTCGTGAGTCAATGTGGTGAAAGGTTTGCTGGGGACTCCTGTGGGTTCGAGCATGCAGTTAATCATTTTAGCCTCCAGTTTTCCTCCATTCCTCCAGCGGCGCATTGATGTAACATTCCAGTTGACTTCATCCCATTTCTTGGCTACCGCAACTGCAGCGCTAGCGCCCCTCCCCTGACCAAAAGGATATATCCAAAAGAATAAGCGCTTATAACTCCCTTTCCATGCATTGTCACTGAATTGTGCCTTGATTGTGTAAGAGATGGACAGTGCCATGAACAAGATGTGTACTCTTCCTTCAAAGAAGTAGGTTAATTATAAGTTACATTTAAGTTGTTTTTTCTTTATTTAATTTGGGTCTTTGTATATCAGATCTGGGGCTATGTGTTGCAGAATTGAATAACGACTGCTATAGGGCTGTGGTAATGAATTGAGTTGCACGAATCTTTCTAATTGTTTTAAGATGTGTGTATCGTTTTTTCGGTTCTAAATTATTTACTTATACCAATGCATACATCCATATACTACATGCCCTCTTAAGATTATCGATTAATCACAAGCAACTGCAATGTCAGTTGTAATATACTGTAAAACACTTTTTGTTTTTAGGTGGAACTTACTTGATATTTCCATTTACTGTCCAGATGTGTCATTTTTAAATAGTAAGGACAATTACAAAGAAGAAAAGGTTATTTGGCCCATCAAGCCCAAATAACTCATTTGTAAGCCTCCTGGAAAACACACTTATGCATAGTTGTAGAAATTGTGTTTTTCCCCATGACAAATGTCAACAAACATACCTTACTTTAAAAAAAAAAAAAACACTAAAAAATGGCAAAGATAGTTGCTTCATTTTCTGTGTGTATAAGACATAAAACAGTTTACATACTGGCCCCCATTATTGATTAACAGTCTTAAAATGTATAATTATGTGTTCAAGGAAGGGAATTGCAGTGCAACAAAGCACAATTACTGTATGCTATTAAGTCTGTACAGAGAGCACTTCAATAAAATACATGCCTTCCTATAAATTAAAATGCATCATTTCATAATTGAGCACACAAGAACTGACGATACAAATGTACGATTTTTACGTTTTTTAGTTACTTTCCTCAAACTCAGGAATAAACCTTGCACTTCAAGTTACTTATGCATGTTGCCAGTCTTTGCACGTTACTCATCTTAGCTACTTAAATCCAGATAACAGATAAGGAACTCAATTGTACTGTTATTGATGTGACATGCAACACTCGATGTAGTGACAAATTACTAATTACTACTAATAAAGAAAGTCACTACTTCTCAGAGCTACAGTAGTCAATCCAGAGTGTGCATATTACAGACTCACTACTTGGGTAAAAAGAGATAAATATAATTGTCTGTAAACAATGGGCCAAAGTGCAAAATGTTTATTTTACGTGAAAGTGTGTTGTAAAGACAACTATTTGGAGTTATTTGAGAAAGCATCTTCTGAATAAATTACAGACTGTAAATAGTGTGTTGCAGACCATGCATTTGTGTTCACGGAACAATTTTGTTCTACATAGCCGCTGTTAAAAAAAAAAGGAGAAAAGTTACTAAGTCTTGGACTTTATGACATATAGACTGCAGTACTCGCAGGGATTGGAAGGGGGAGCAGTCTGATCACAGGAGAATAAGTAAAAGTGAGAGTCAGGGGGAGACATTGCGTTTTCAGAAGCAAAGGAGGCAGACTACCAACAACAACAGCTGAACAAGCTGCAGACAATGTGTTTCTCCAGGAACAGGGATGGAAACAAGTAGTCATACCATAGTTTCCCAAAACCTTATTTGAAAATACTACAAACTTGTTGCTGAAATGTAGTTAGGGCTGTAACTACTGGAGCTGTATTATTGGAATACAGTGCTGTTCACTTCCTTCTCTGCTAATGTGACCTAAAGTCAGGCTGATTTCTCGGGGGAACATAAACAAGAGACTAGATCCTTTATTAGCACTTGTCTTTGAGGGGGATAATGTTTGATGATTCAAGATATGTTAACATTTTATGCTGTGCGTCATGTTTCATCAACTTCATTCGACTCGCAATGCTTACATGGTAGAATGAATAATGTACAACTCTCGACTTATGCGCTTAGACTGGAATAGATTTACAGAGTTTATAAGTAGATCTTCATTATAAATTCATCAACATAATCTTCTAAAATTATTGTCCAAAATAAAGACACCCCCAGTTTGAACCAATATACTAATTTTTCAGTTGCAGGATTGTGCAGAGAGCAACGTAGATTTCCATTACCTCCCTTGGCGAGGATAATACCAACATTTCAGATATATTTGCTGTTTAATCCACACACCACTCCTCTTAAACAACCTCAAGTGAACAACATCATGCTGCAGTAATGGGGTAGGATTGGACAGCAAACATATGAAAGTACAGAAAATATGCTATTTCTGTTCATACTGTTCTTGCAGCTCACAGCCCAACCTGTTATTTGGAGTGTTTTTTTATTTTACTATTCTGATCATGAAGAGAATAACAATTCTGTCCTCTAAAGTCAATGATTATAGGATAGTTGTTTTTTTGTGATACTGGCTAGTGGTCATTACTGACCACTGCACACTAGACTGACCAGGTGTCAGAGCCTGGAACATAAATATTGTCAGAAACACTTCATAGGAGCTAGGAGTTATTTCTAGGCCTCTTTCATTTGTGAAAATTCATATTTTTTTAATCACATTTGTCCATGTCTATCTAGCAGCAACATTAACAAATACACACACTGTGATGTATTTAAATTTTGAAGAAAGCTTTCAAGATTTCCTCATAAAGATTAAGTCTGAAATTAGAGATGTGGTCATTCAGGACAACATATTTGGATTAAAAAATAATTATTAAATGGGAAACAGATTACAGATAAATGTTCCACCTTGGGCAACAGAATTAGTGGTGTACCACAAGGATCAGTACTAGGACTAAATTATTTTCCTAATTTATATCAATGATCTAGACCCTGAAATAATTGGTAACTAATCAAGTTTGCAGATGAAAGAAGGATTTGCTAATTCTGTAAAAGCAGCAAATAAATTTTGAGTTTTAAAATCCAAGCTGGGGACCAAATCTGAAAAATGATGTTTAACCTAGACAAGTGTTTGGGTTTTACATGCAATATAAAGAGACCATAAATAAAAAATGGGAAACAGGAGAGGCTATTTATAAAAAAAGGCTTTGGTGTTTATATTGGGAATTATTTTTTCATCTGCAAGACAATATAGAGCAGCAATTAGATAGGCAAACCAAATGTAAGGATTTAGAGAGTGCAGAATTCAAATCGAGAAATGCAATGTTAAAATTGTACAATGTATTAGTAAGGCCTCATTTTTAATACTGTGTACAACACTGGTCACCTTAATATAGAAAATATGCTCAGGAATCAGTCCAGAAAAGAGCAATCAGATACATTCAGAGGCTCAAGTGAACACCTTATACCGACAGGCCGAAAGCGCTGAACCTTTTTAGTTCTGAACACAGAAGAGTACAAGAGGATACAAGTATTCAAAATCCTCAAAGGCATCGAGCACAGGTGAAAAACTATGGAAGAGCACTTGAAACCAAAAAACAGGAGGCACTCCTTTACACAAAGGGATGTGGGAATAGGGGACAAGATACCCTCCCATGTCTGGCTTCTTCTGAGAAATGGCAGGATGAGATCCTTGCATCAATTAGTTCCTGAAATTCTAAATATGCTAGATGGGCCAAAGAAAATTGTTCAGAAATTGTTCTTATGTTTTGATTACAGGTTAACTCAGAGTTCATGAACTAAAGCTCATTATAAATGTTTGTGTCATTGAAGATCTACAGGTATTCAAACTGAATGTTCATTTTCATCAGTGTGTTTGTTGCATCCTCCACAGACAATGAGAAACAGCAAGGAGGTACAGGATGAGACGAGACACTTTTTTCATTTTATTTTTGTATTTTTTTTTTAAATCCATTAATGTCAAATTATATATTGTTTAATTGGCTAAAGATACATTCATCAAACATTTACAGTATTAGAAACCCACAATTACAGTTAAACAACACCATCTTTAACAGACTGTGTCATCCAGTCCCTTGTGTTAAGTGCTAGCTACAAAAACCACCACATGAGTTCCCAAAACTGGAAAAAAACAAACCAAAGAAATTTGGGATCATTCCTATTACTGTAGCTCTATAGAACACATTTGTCATGTTTCAGTACAGAAGGAATTAAAACATTTCATTTATTAAATAAAGTGCAAATATTCAATACATATCACTAAGCACTCTTGAGGTGTGCCACAGTGGAAAACTGCTATAAATTGAACAGGAAAATTAACTAATCGCCAACAGTAGCACAATGTGTCCTGAGCTAATATAAAACAAGGAAGACAATTTCCCTGATACATCTTTAAAATCCCTTATCAATTACAATAAAATTTTTAAAATGTTATGCATAAAAATTGTATAGAAACGTTCAAATCAAACAGAGGCTAAGAAAGGCTTACAGTACATACTGTACCTCTTTAAAATTTCGAAAGAGTTGTATTAAACTCCTTGCAATTGTGGAACTTCTGGCTTCACTACTGAGCTGAGCAGCACAGAAGCCATCACCAGAAATGACTGACTAATTGTTCGACCACTGTCTGAGGGAACATCCAATATCACCGGGCATAACTGGATAACCTGTCCATTGAGGTCCCGTTCTCCTGCCGAGAAATATATGCGCCTTAAAATTAAGTATTTTTGTCTTGCGAACAATATTTCAATTAATGGAAGGTTCAGACGAGATAACACTAGTTTGTGTCTTCTAACACTCTGCAATTGAAATATAGTGAGAGTTAGGCCTAAAAATAGCTTTCATCTGTTGCTTTCAGCAGATACACTTTAACAGAACAGAAGCAAAAATGTGTGTCTGTGTAGAGCTCTATGAATGTGCACGGAACGACCAGAAGGCACGGATTGAATGCAATCTCTTGCAGTTCATACAGAATGTGGTCTGAAACACTTAGAACTCAAACCTAAACAAAGGATTTGGAACAGTATCCTGGCATGTTTAAAGCAGTGCATTGTTGATATGACACCAAAACATTAATTCTGCTTACTACGGAAAAGTTTTAGATAACACAAAAGTTCTCACTGGAGCTGCACAGAAAACAACAACATACTTTAGGTACGTTAGGCAGGCAGGCAGGCAGATAATTGGATATATACTCTTGCTCCTTGGCCTATAGTTTGCTCTTTAAGCCCCTTCAACACTCAAAGGAATCTAAACAAGCAGTCAGAAATACCAGAGCTCCACTGCACAGAAGTTATTGGCTAGATCAGGGGTTTTCAACCTGTGGGGCGCAAGATTACGAGACATTTTGGCGCAAACACGCAAGTAAAATGAAAAATAAACTAAACAACTGCAGCGAGCATGTTTCAATCGTTAACAGTCATTCATTATTCATCCACTAGAGGTTGTGTTGCAATCTGGCTCATGTCCCTGGCTAAGCAGGCTACCTGCCGTCTATTCTCGTTGGCGAAGGCTACGGCAGAATTGAGACTTCGCCTTATACCACGATTGTGAAGTTATAAATGGACTGGTGGCTTACTCTAGTTAACAACAGCGATGAGCGTGAAACTGTTAAAGCAAATTAATGAAAGGCGCTGAAATGCATGAATGTATACGTAATGTCAGTTATATTGTGTGACAAGCGTGTTCGCATTGTTTTCTTATTGGGTTTTGGGTTGGGGGGCACAAGTTCAAACTTAGACAAACGGGGGGCGCATGTCAGAAAAGTTGAAAACCCCTGGGCTAGATTGTAGCAGAATATACAGTGTGCATGCCAGGACACATGGTTAAATATTAGGACAGTGAGATGATGAGCAATTACGTATACTAAATATTAACAGAAAAACTGCAAAAATCATTTTCTCTTATGCTACCTGACCGTTCACATAAGATCACCGCAACTACTCTGTACTCTCAGAAGAGATGCTTGCTAGGAAGTGAGTCTTAGGAGCACATAATCTCTGTGTTGTACAGTATGTGTGCAGGATTTGTGCTGTATAATTGAACTTGCAGGAGCCTATCAAGGCAAGGAAAGGTGATGAAAGGGCAGAATCTATTCTATGAGTAATGGCGAGTCAGAGGAAACTGGTTTTCAGAGTAAAAATATGTATGTATGCAAAACACATATACATAAATATACGTTTATATGTAAAAAATAGACTTGGTAAGTCACTTGTGACCCTGTAATCACATTCTCACATGAGGTAAAATAATTTCCTCAAAAACTGTCACATACATACAAAGTTCTGAGTGCTTGTTTACATTTAGTGGGCTCTGCTGCAAAACAAACTTCCCACTTGTTACAACCTGAACTAAACTGAAAATGAAACACTGTTATTTTGGAAAATTGTAATATAACGAACCATTCTAAGAGACAATTTTGAAAAGAAAATTACGATTTACATAGAAAGGACCAACAAGATCTCACATGCATCCACAGCCATTCATTTTTCTTTCCATATAAAACCAAAATAATTGTGTTTTTCCTCAATTTCTGCAGGTAAAGTAATTAACTAGAAGTTAGAAACTTGGATGTCCAGGACAAAGAATTGATTGTAATATGGGTTGTTAAACTGATGAATCTTCAACAGATTGTTTGATATCCATTTGTCCATTTTCAGAAGTTTAGTAGTGTCTGGGGAAAATTGGTATTCATCACCTGTCGTTACTTGGCTTGGGAGTCACCACAGGAATGTCCCAAACGAAAACAACTAATTGCTACAATAAGGACATTGTTTAAATCAGGATTCTATGTACATTGCACTTTCAGAGCTTATTTTGTTTATAAAAATCTGTTTTTTCCTTCAGTATAAAAATATGATCTGACTCAATCACAGCCTGTTTGTAGAAATATTATGTAGTGTACATCATAACCAGGAATTTCTCCAAATTGCATAAGTACTGCCTAACATATTTAAATCGCTTGGAGGAAGACGAAAGCAAGAAAAAAAAACTGTTAAGGAGAACAGGTGCTAAATTATACAAGCACAGCTGCAAAATGCTGTTAAATTCAGAGAGTCGTCGGTGAACAATAACTCACGTGACGAGCACAATTATCGGTGAGGGGGGGGGTCAATCTTTATTTTCCACAAGAACCCTGCCATGAAAACAGCTGACAAATGTCTTGGGACCCACAGTGGCAACTAGAGCAAGGTACTTCCACATCATATCTGCTCATGTAAGCAGCAAAGTAATGAGTTTACCATTAATTCCCCTGGGTGCACCAGATTGAGAGTTTTTAAAGCAATGTTACGAGTAACGCTCTTCAGCTCCAGGTTATAAGGATTCGTTAAAATGTCTAATTCATAATGACACAAAGAAGAAATAAAAAAGAGAGACTTCCGTGTTATTATTGTAAAGCACTTTTTTTAGAAATAGGAATAAAAAGCGTAAAAGCCACTCCATTCAAAGATGTATTCGCTACTGACTGAAATCCAACTTTAAAAATGCGAAAAATCGCGGACGGACAATGCATTTTTGGCACAGCCCAAAACTCGCAGAGAGATTTTTTGCCAACAGGTTAGGACCGTGCAACCAAGACACCTGTACTGTAAATGTACAAGAGAGACAGAGATGTCGGGAGAAGCTTTCTGAAAATGCACCTCGGGGAGCGGTAACATTAGCTTTAAAAAAAGGACGGCGAAGCAGAGAGACACAGGTCGAAAGGAAAAGGTGGACTATTTACAGTTGCAGTTAGCATTAAGGGAAGACACTGAATGCTATTTTATATTTCCACACTAATAATGAGAAAACAAATCTACAGAAAACCAGCTCAGATACCTTATTTCACAGGATCCATAAACTGACAGTGCAAATGCTGAAGCAGGTTTACCAGAAACACGTGTTCTTGGGTGAAATTCTCTGCTGGCTTTTAATGACAGGCTCTAGAGCCTTATTAAAAAAAATAAAATCTCACGTTGCCTATGTGAGGCAATTTTTGTATGACAAAAATACAGATTCACCTATTATTAGCCCTTGAGATTCACATTTCAAACAAAAGTCAAATCGTACACCCTGGTGCTTTACCAAAATTATTTAATTTTTAATTAACTGAGGTATCAAATGGCGAGATATTTATTTTAAACACTAGCATAGGAGATCCAGTGTGTCACATCTTAGCATTTATAGATGGGATAATCCTATTATTATTGTACATACATTTTATTCAATTAAACCTTTATGTTCAAAGTAATTACCCAACAATGATGAAAGAGTATAAAAGCAGGGAAATCAAGGTAAGAGGATGCCAACAGATTGCTTACATTTATAAACTGAAAGAAATTATATAAAAACTAACAGCACTAATGTTTCAAAAGTATTCTCTATGTAGAAAAAGTTGACAAAGTTAAAAAATATATTACTTTAGAAACATGTTTTTTTTTGTCACAGAAACATGAGAGCATTATGCTAACATGAAGCCTTTTCCCTCACAATTCTAAATTTCCTCTCCATTCTTAATTCACGTACCACTGAGATTTAGGCTGCTGAGAACATAAAGAAGAAAACCTTCATTTACTGCCCACTTAACTAAATTTTTACTTTTTCAGGGAGAACAGTTCATAAATGAAACTACATTTAGCTCTCTGGGAGGATGGTGAGATACAGGATATACTGGAAAATGTGAGGAAACACAATTTATAAATTGGAAAGCTGAGGGAAACTACGAGTCATTTTCTGTCTTTTTCTACCACTCGCCCACCTAACTCATTTCATTTTGAATTTTTAAATCGGTAAACAAAGTGTAGCCAGTAGGCATGAGAGAAACAGAACCTGCACTCTGTAATAAGCAGTGCGTCAACACACATGACAACAGAAAAATAAATTGGCAACTGAATTTAGGACCCTTCTTTTCACAGAATACCTCGACAATACATAATTCAATCAATAAAATAACTCCTTGTCTTAAAAAACAAATATGAACCTTTTTTTTAACCAAAGCCATATGCAAGACAGCAAATACTTTGGACTGTACCTGCTTTAACTGCATAGCAGAAGTTCTCCTGTGGTGTGAAAATGTTTGTTTTTGGCCCCTGTTGTGAAGTGAGTTATCCGTTTAGGTCTCGGATTAAATAAAAACTTCAATCCAGCAGCCAATAGAAACCATTCAACTTGACAGTGAGTTTGTGTGCCAGAGGTGCCAAATCTGCGTACATCTCATGTAGTTCAAGTGGAAGCCAAATTGTTTTTTTAAAGGCTTATATCATTTTCAATAGCAGTTTAGTGACTATCATGAGACTTCTAAGCTCTGTATAAAGGCCGCTGTATATACTGTAGTATACACAATCAGTTTAGTCTTATCTATGAACGTGGAGAACTAGCTAAATGATTTCTTACATTTTTTCAGTCTTTCCAAAGTTGTGAGCTGCCAGCCAGATTATATTAGAATTGAGAAATGCACATGTCAATAGAGACGATGGTGCTAATTTCACAAATAATGGGAATTCTGTTCACTGCAAGTTTTAACCTTGAAATAACGTTCTATGTTACCGTACTTTGACTCATTCTTTTTTGACAGCAGAAAGCTCTAACTCGAGGCAAAACATCGCTGCACTAAGGATGAGCAAAGATAAGAGGAGCAGGTTCAAGCTTCTCGAGAAGTTTTTCGAAACATACAGGCGAGCAAAGCGATCGCTAAGCAAACAGCAGAGTCAAGAATAACAGCGTCAGGAAATGATACCTAACACTGAAAGCTGAAGTAGGCAGCAGGGGAGTTGCTCTTTAAGATCCACCAGTGGATACTCCCCAAAATAAACTGATTGTCTGCTTCGTGAATTTCAAACTTTTCCACAGTATTTCTAAACAGTGACTGCTGTGCACACGACATAATGAATAGTTTGAACATTCTAGGCTTCGTACGAAAGAAAATCCTACAAAAAAATCTGGCCTTCTATTTTGCACATCTGAAATGCGCAGAGAGAGTACGTCCTGTAAGAGCTTAAGAAGTCTGTTACACTGATGCACATGTGGAGTATCTTTTTTTTTGCCTTTTGCCTTGCTGCACAAACATGAGGTGTCCACAACGCAAGCCGTTTTCAGATTCTAGCAGAATGAATAGATAGAATTAAAGCAGACCTGTCCAACCCTGTGTAGTGATGATGAAATGACAGGTACAGACAGAACTGTGCTCCACGTGGTAGACATTCCCGACATTAAAATGTGGGCCAGTTTAAAAAGAGCAGCCCACAAAAGCACTCTCTACAAAAAAAAAAACTTCCCGCTGTATTATAGTACACGCTAAAGAAAATAGTGGAATAATAAAAGCAGTGGATTCATTTTGTGTGGTATACACAAATGCAAAGCATTTAGAAAATATTTCTAGTCTGGAAGTTCAAGAAAAAGGCATAGAATGCTAAAGAGAAGGTTAGGACCTTAAGTCGATTTTGCTTGTGAATGCTCACAGGCAGGATTTTTTTGTACCATAAGAATTCAGGATTTGTTTCTGTTGCAGAAAGCTCTACAGTACATTACATTAGGTTTTGAGCAACCTTTGTTTTTCCACTCTTGTATTTTGTCAGTATATATGGTTTGTTGTTTTGCTTTCCCATAAAAAAAAAAATCAGATGTTTCAAGTACCAAAGATTCGGTAGTGTGTGCAGCATATTTTTAAAACGAGAAGCCTCAAGCGGCCGATATTATGTAATAAAAACGGACGAGTTAAAATGAAGCCACACTGTAATACATGCAGCCTAGCCACAAAATGGCACATTGCTATCCTATTGTAACCAACAGAAATAAAGTAAAACGTAATGCAAGGCAATGGAAGAGCAGAATCGCAGCTACACTACAGAAACTGAGATGGAAAACGGAGGGAAGCTCGTAATGTTACCCCAACAACCTTTCAGAGAGAACGACAAGAGAATGACTTCAAAGTGTGAGAAAGAGCTGCTAAATGCTAAAAGGAAGCTCTGCGTGATGCGCAATTAAAACTGATAATTAAGTTTACAAATACTTTTATATGCCCGTTTGGAGGAGGCTCGGGGTGGTCAACTAGAAAACAAAGAATGTCCTGACTTTTCTGGCAATTGTACATACATTTTGACAGCTCGTTTTAACAGTATTGTGCCCTACACCACACGCAGCGTGCTCCGAAACCAGGCAGGGGGGAACCTTTTAAGCCGGAGTTGCGAAACGTTAAAGAAAAAAAAACACAGCGAAGAATTGCTATTCTCTAAACGCAGACTGCAACGAAGGTGGGGCATTTACTCTTTAAAAAAGAAGGGCTTAAAATGAAATGAAACGAGGGCATTTTAATAGTTTTTTACCAGGTTCCAGAAAGAGCCAGTGCAGAAAAACGACGTGGCTGCACAGAGCTCGTCGCGGTTTGTGTTCTTTATTGCTGCCGGACGTTTGGTGGGAGGACGGGGGAGTCGGGTTCGAGTTCTGGCGCGGGGGTGGGGTGGGGGTCAGTACATGTCCCTGTAGATCTCCTGCAGCAGCGGGTGCAGCGAGGTGTCCTCGGTCTTCTTGATCTCCTGGACGAGCTGGGCGTGCTCGGTCACCAGCTGCCGGAGGTCGGCCAGCTTCTGCAGCAGCTTGGGGAAAAGGAAGGCGTCGTCGGGGTGGTTGGACTGCAGGTGGAGGCGGAGCACCTGCACGATCCTCTCCTGCATCTTCTCGATGTGGCCCACGTTCACCAGGCCAGGCCGGTCTGCAAACACGGAGCAGTGGTTTAAA